TCAGTCGGGTTTCAGAATTCATCAAAGTACAGAAACAGCATTAGTGAAGTAACAAAGTAGACTCATCTCTGTGCTTCTCCTGCTAGATCTCAGTGCTCAATACTTTTGGCCATAATATTTTATTACAGAGATTAGAGCATGTATTACTGCTCTGCAGTGTTTTGAGTTATATCTACTGTTAAATCCTCCCAATTCTTTCGATCTTTGGGCTGAAGGAAGGACAATACTCAGTGTATAAATGCTCAATCAACAATCTTTTATTTCATACAATTCAACACTTTATGAGCATAAACCATCCAGATGGGGAGACATGCATGAAGAGGGTCACAGCAAATCTCAAACTTGTGGAGGGTTACTCAAACTCTTATAGCCTTTAGCCCCCACCTAGTCATAAAAACCTAAACATTCACATTCTTTCTAACTCCTAGCGAGCCTGACTTATGGCCTTGGCTCCCTATTTTGTCTGCCTTCAACAACGGTGGGAGTGAAGCTCCCGTGGAATGTGCTCTCTGTCTCCTCTACTATCAGAAAAAGCAAAATCCTGACTCTCTGACTCTCTTATAACTCAGCAGTATAATGCATCATAAAACAATATCATTCATTCACACTGAATCAGCAGTCTAATGTAATACAAATCAGTTTAATAACTGTAATAGTTATCACCTTCTTCTAATTCAGGAGAATAATGCAAACTAAAACTACATAATACTTTCACAATCTTTAATTAGGGGTATAACATGGCATAAGATAATATTATAATCCCACACTACCTAATAGACTCCAATTTAATCATGTAAATGGGGAATCTTCTTCACACACTACAGTAAATTATGGAGTCCCACACGGTCCTGTTCTAGGACCAATTCTGTTTACATTACACATGCATCCCATTGGGCAGTATCATTAGAAGACAGCATAGTTGTTCACTGCTATGCAGATGACACCCAACTCTTTCTACCTATGAAGCCAGATGGCATATACCAATTAGCTTGACTGCATGAATGCCTTAAACACGTAAAGATCTGCTTCTAAAGTCAGATAAAACTGAGGTTATTAATAACATGGTGTCCAACCAGAATAATAGTCTGGATGGCATTGCTTTGGCCTCCAGTAACACTGTGAGGACTCTTGGAGTCGTTTTCGTTCCCAGTTTGCATTCAGGAGGCAGACACTCTCTCTACTTTTAAGATTAGGCTTAAAACTTTCCTGTTGGATAAAACATGTAGTTAGGGCTGGATATGTGTTTCATCTTCACACACCTTTTTAACTGTTTATACACAACTCTGCATTTAATGATTAGTTATTATTCATCTCCTGCTCTGCTCCAGAGTATGTGTTTTGTCTTGTCTCTGTCACCCCCCCCTACTGTTTCTGCTGGAGGTTTCTTCCTGTTAAAAGGGAGTTTTTTCTTCCCACTGTTGCCAAGTGCTTCTTCATTAGGTGTGTGTGTGTGCTGTTTGATTGCTACTGCCTTCTCTCTTATACTTTTGGAATTTTATCTTTCATGATAAACTTTCTGGACATACCTTCTTGGTCTGCAAAGTGAAGTCAAAGCAGAAGTGCCTTAAACCTGCATTTTTTTATGATTAGCAAGAGGCGGCTCCTCTGCCTGTGTAATAGTCAACTGATTTAAGATCTCAGTCAACACTTCCCCCCAAAGTTTATGGGCCCACTCATTGTTTAAAGTCATAATGAATACAATATGAAGATGGTACTTTCAGCTGCTCCCTTATTTCCCAGGGGCTGGATCTGCATGTTTGATTTGGCACCAGTTTCATGGAGAATGCCCATCCTGACACAGCCCTCCCTTTATCAGGGCTCAGGACTGGCACTAGGAATAGACAGGCTTGTGAGCCCCTGATGCTGGCTCTGGGTAGCTTTCACATTTAAAGTGAATGTGATGATACCATGGAGCTGATGCTAAATATAATATGAAAGTCATTTAGTACAGCCCCAACCTTTTTTGCGCCACGGACCGGTTTATGCCCGACAATATTTTCACGGACTGGCCTTTGAGGTGTCGCGGATAAATACAACAAAATAAAACTAGTACTGGTACCGAAAAAAAAGAAGATTTATTCATAACACACGTGAAAAGACCCAGGAAAACCGAGTTAACGATAAAAACTATAACAAAATAACGCTGAAAACCGATAAAAACCCTGAAAACTATACATTTCACACCTGAGCCTCTACTCTACCAAACGACTCACGGACCGGTATCGGTCTGAGGCCCGGGGGTTGGGGACTGCTGATTTAGTAAATTACAGTTGTTATTATTATGTCAGAAAGCGGGATAACTCAGGATATGCCAGTTAGCTAACAATAGGTCAATCAGAAGTCATTAGCTGATGAGCATGAGGTGTTTCTTGTATTTTTAATCAGAGTCACTTTCATCATATCATGTCCAGTTTCAAGAAAACAAGATGGAGATGGAAAAATGCAAATCTGAGGCTCCAAAACAGAAGTGCAGCCCACGATTTCATACAAATAAAAGTGGGACATTTTTTAACTTCAGATTGTAGGTCAATATTTGATTAAGCCACCTTAGAAATGATAAAAGAATGTTCACTGTAATTTCATGGATTAATAATGCATTTACAGACAAATAATAGTGATGTACTTGCTAGTTTCCTCTTGTAATAAACATGCATTTTAAGCTTTATGACAACAGCAAACTGTAACATATGGTTCATAAACAAATGTCCCTCTCAACTCTTACATCCATTTGAGGGTAAATACCGCCTGATGGATTGAACTTTGACTTTTTATAATTACTCCTTCTCACAGCAGAGGAAATGATATGGTAATACTGAGAAAGAATATCCGTGTGATATGGGCATTTTGTCTGGGAGTGCATCACAGACAGTCTAATTGGCGCTGATTTAATAGCCTCCTAATGTCACTTGAAGGTCTGGCAACAGCTGTGATTATAATTGGTTTTGGGAAGACAAGCGTGGGTCTAACAGGCAAAGGGACTTACACTACCCCGACCCCTCTGTCATGTCTCAACACGGCAGCAAATGTGCATGTTGAAGTCTGACTGTGAAAAGGCCATGAGATATGAATTTAAGGGTTGCGGGATCAAAAAGAAGAAGCAGGGAAAAAATCCCCATCAGCTGCTTGTGCGGTGCAAAGGCCGAAGCTTTGACCCGACGGAAAACAGATCTGACGATGTGCGCACATACACAGGGTGAGGAGGTCAACGGGAAAGAAAAGGATCCGCATCAAAGTACAACTACTGCAAAGCACACTTCCAATAAATGCTTTAAAAATCGAATCATGTTGCCACAAACGTGCAAGAAGCTTTCTGTTGAGCTCATAGTCAGCTTTGTTGGACTAGGATTAAGCCCAGCAGAGATTTGTGTCATTTCTGAGCCAAAGCTGCTGCAGCAAAGAAAGAAAGCACCCCACTGCATTTAGATTGACAACATGATTGATCTGCACACAATGAGCGATAGTGGAAGGTGTTGATGGAGCCTGAAAGCATCGCCGATCAACCGTGCTGTCAGTCTGAATGAAGCTTAGTTTTAGCTTTCACTGCTCTTCGGTTAGAATTAAAAAGAAAG